CGTCGGACAAAGCTACAGTTCGGTCGGACACCAATACACTCGGGTCGGACAAACAATAAACCTCAGTTTCACTGGGGTCGGACAGAATGTCCGGTGGTTTCCTCTCTACGTCGGACAATTTCACGAATGGGTCGGACAATGTCCATGACCGACCGATATTTTAAGGCCTGTCTTCGACATAGCCAGCTTTCCCTAAATGACTGTTTGAACATTTGGCGTATTCTACCAAAGAGTAGTGAGATGCAAAGACATTCCACTGGTTGGACCACCAATTAACGCATCAGTACCTTGCGATTCACTCGAGCACTATTATTGGCGTATAGCACTATCGCCTGAATCCAGCATGCTGAAGAAATTGAGAAAAGTTGTACGTCGATGATTTGGTAACTGGAAGAACTTCGGTACAAGAAGTGGGCAAAAAGAAGAAAACCTTAGTCATGACTATTAAGACTACAGTCATAATCATTAAGACTATACTAGTCATGACTATTAAGACTATAGAGATGACCATTAAGACTATAGTCATGACCATTAAGACTATTGTCATGACTATAGTCTACAACCGCAGTCATGAAGCCCATGTTCAAACAACACAACAAGTGCCCCCCCCCCCCCACTCCTGTATCTGCTGAGATACCACCACAAGTACCTCCTACTTCTGTACCTGCTGAGATACCATCACATGTCCCTGCTACTCCAAAACCTAATTTCCTTACACCACCAACAACCGAAGGTGAACGACCAAGGCTCAAGCGAAACTTTTCACAATTGGGTTGACTCTGCTGATTGGAAAGAAAGTGATCTGGTTATGATGAAACCAAAGGAAAGAGAGTGGTATGAACGTTTTTTCACTGAAGGAAAGGCAAAAATATATTCCAATGAAGCCTGAAGATGTTGCAAGATTATCAACAGGAGAAAGACAAGAGTTTTAGAACTTTTTAAAGATACAAAAGGACACCCAAACGATACGCTCTTAGAGATAGACCATACTAAATTTTGTAAAACGTTTTGAAGAAATAAATGTGTTTTAAATCTAAATTCTTGTGCAAATTTATGCCCGCAAAGCCACGCGCCCGATTTTAATGTCTATGCCCGCGTAATAAATAATCCCTATCTATCCATAATAAACACTTAAGAAATTAAACTTTAGCTTGTAATCCTTTAACGACTGTTAATGACTTTGGCAGCACACATTTTCGATATCAACAAAACAAAACATCGATATATCTCGCAAAACCCACAACGCATACTAACCATAACGAAAATATGTTCCCTTGTACTTGGTGAAATAAAAAATGTATATATCCAAATGGGGTGGCCGGGTTAATCACTTTTTAAAACATATTTATTGTTGGATCGGAAAGCTAGATTAAGACGTTAAGGTTAGAGGAGCTGTTTTGAGTAATAAATTTCCAAGCAGGAATAAAATCGCGATATATTTTAGGCTTAGCTTTTAAACAGTAAATTCTTGTGGAAATGTTTGCCCGCAAAGCCACGATAGCGCCCGATTTTAAGGTCTACGCTCGCGTAATAAATCTATCTGCTATAATCCTTTAACGACTGTTAATGACTTTGGCAGCACACATTTTCGATGTCAACAAGACAAAATTTCGATATATCTCACATTGCTGAGCTCAGCAAGAATATTGATTGTTCGCCTGAACATGCCCACAACCGCCCGTAATAATATCCATTTATATCCATTACGATCTTACAGCAAAAATATTGATTGTTCGCCTGAACATGCCCACGACCGCCTGTAATGATATCCGTTTATATCCATTAGGATCTTATAGGTTATGCAAATTCGTATTGCCTTAATCCCCCTAATTACATCAACCTTTGTGTTTTACGCATGGGATTACCTTACCTTACTATTCTATTTCTAATGCAGTTGTTTCTAGCAATAAAAACTATATAGGCCGCCACATTCCGCCTTCCTCCGCTGCCACACTCCACCACACTCCGCCGCCACACTCCGCCGCCACACTCCGCTACCACACTCCGCCGCCTCCCTCCGCCCTTCCACCACCGAAATATTAATTAACTCCGCCCCAAAAATCCGTCCCAAAAACCACGTACACTGCTACTAACGTCTAACATGCTAGTGGCTTGGAAGGATTTCTTATTTTTTTGTCACATTACACTGGATACGTACGTGGTGAAGGGGAGTACAACATGTTCGTGCATGGCTAACCGCGCCAAATTTCGTTAGCAAAAAGGTTCCTAACATAAGACTGACCTGTGCCAAAAGAAAATTCTGCTGATGTTACCAGCCGAATCCAGAGATTCCATGCTAATGCATACGCTACGCCTCCCCCAGTGAACTTACCAACAACAAGAACCAAATAATCCACTGCGTATCAGGTTATGGGAATGGATTATGCATGGGTCCACTACGTTGCCGACCTGGTTACCGAAAGTTCAAAGGTAAGGCATGGAGCGCATGTTCTACATATTGTTGTACGGATGCATGTAGCAGCAGGACGCTGGGTAAAAATGATGAACAAAGATGAAAAGTTGCAAGAATGTCACCCAACTGACCACAAACCGAGCGAATTGTGTGAGGATATTTGGACATGGTTCAAGTATCCGGCATGAGTTGAACAAGAGACTAATCAACCGGAACAAATTGTGAGAAAAGAGGAAGAGTTGTAACTAGAATGTCAAAGAGGTATTCAATAGAAACATCTAGAATCATCAATGGTTTGATCAAAGAACTTTTGGAACTTCCAGGACTTCGTATTCTTCGGTATCGCAGACTTTCACATCTTTGTAGATTCCTCTTGAGGCATATGGCACAGTTATCAATATTTGTATAAGGATGGGACTATCACCTGCTGTTTAGTCGCTTAATTAAATCAAGAGTTGCACCCTTACAAGCTGTGAGCATACCTTGTTTAAAATTAATGGCTGCTGTTTCTGGGTTACAGCTTGCAACTGCTGCTTTAAAGTGCTCAACATTACGCCTTCACGATGGATATTATGGCCTGACAGTATGAATGCACTTCGTTCGCAAGATGGCGGCGAGTACAGCAGCTTATTTGGAGTATGCTGGAAACGTGAATGGTTTCCCGGATTGTATAAACGAAAGAAGTGTCTGTGATACCAAGATCAAAAGAACATTCAAGTGGACGACGTGGCGGGTAGTGGCCACTTGATCAAGATGTAAGAACTTATGCGTGTAAAGACGGTGGAAGTCGTTGATGTTAGAATTGGGAACAGTTTTCCAGAGGCCGTAAATAGCTAAGCTGTGTCTTTTGCATCTTTTGCAAGTCGATTAATTTGGACAGAAAGGAAACATTTTAAATGACTTTATTGAACTTTGTCATTGAAGAGGGAATGTCCTGGATTTAGTACGGCTTTCTGTGAATAAACAGACCTGCGGGCTGGCCCAATGAACGCGTTGAAAGTTTAAAACTTATAAGAAAACACGTTATTGATATATGTTTATAGTGATTTTTTTATAAGCATAAATTTCGTTAAAGTTGTAACTGATTGCCCTTCGTTATACGTATAAAAGTTTGATGTCAATTTAGTCATCTGCCAGATCTTTTCTGCTTTTAATCGTTGCCTCTAATTTTTCTTTGTGGTAACTGATATTCTCCTTATCATACCAGGGAGCTTGTGGTCTGCTTCTTAGGTCGATATAGGATCGTTCCTCTCAATTCCTCGTCCTCTCTTTCATAAAAAGTGGTGTATACCAGTAACAGTTTTCCAGAAATAACTGGCATACACCTTTCACAAGATTCGTTTCCTGTATAAGAACCTCAGCCAAATAGAAATAGAGAGACGTATAATAATAGGTGGGTCATTTTACCTGAAGTAATTTGTTTTGAATGTTGATCCCCTTGTCGTTTTCCTTTTTTCTTCTAACCATAGCCAATATTGTTGCAAATGTTAAATTGATATTTTTGTGAACTATAGCCAGGTGAAGAATGCTAAATGGTTTCAATGTAAATATACATGTATGTAAATACTATACATAAATATAAAATATTATAATGCACGGGTTTACCGCCATGCCAAGCGTACACAGCATGCCACTGGTTTTTGAAACCGGGATGAAGTATATTACAATATTCTTGTATCATTCTTTCGTATTTGGACATATTAAGTTTTGTACAAAGATCGTAACGACGGCCGAAATCATAATCCCGTGCAGTCCTCCACAGGCATCCCATGGTCACCTGGGTTTCTCGGCTTTAGATGCCTGCGGAGGATGCTATGTGTGACTCAGAATGTTTTTATGCATGTGCCAGTATTATCTGATCTGTAACCGGAAATTAAAGAATGTAAATGGTATTGATCGTATTTAAATACATTTTAAATTGTTAAAGTATTTCAATAGATTCCACATTATATTTCAGCGGTTTGTGGTTTTAAAAAATTAAATATTCTTAATAATAAGTATTTTTGTTTGTTGAGGTTGTGAATTTTCATACTGGTTAAATAATGACTGAAAAGCGAATTGTTTTTTATAATGCATATTGTATTGATCAGCCAATTTTCGGCTCAAAAATGGTAACAATTTCCGCACGTAATACAAAAACATACAAAAAATGCAAATTTCGCAATGGCCAAGGCTATATTTTCCGTACTTTTACAACATTTCGTAACCAAATTTTGCAATTTTACTAATCTTATAGTAAGTTCTTTACGGGCCCAATTTACTTGTTTTGCCTAGATAAAAAATTAGTCTAACATGCAAGTTGTCTATTCAGGCACAAGTATTCATACAACTTCTTCTGCATGAGATGAACATTATACTCATTACTTAGTATAAATTAATATAAAATAGTATATTTTTAAATACAAAATATTAAAGTGAAGAGTATACTCACGTATCTCCGTCTTCATCTTTTTGAAACAAACTGGAATATTTTAATAAAGTTTGAAGAAGGTTTTCTAGTGCTGGATTTGACTGTTTACCAGTGGTTGCTATCTCACTGCTGGAACTGCTTTTGATATCTGCTTTAGCTTTTGTTTGACATGTAGCCTGCTTTGTCTCTTCCTCAGTCTCTTGCCCTTGTTGACGTTGTAGTAACCCTTTCTTTGGACTTGTACAGGTATTGCTTAGTCTAGGCCTATGACTATGTCTTTGAGGAGAGGTTTGATTTTGTTTTAAATCGTCTTGTTGCTTTTCAGTGTCAGAAGTGGTTTCTTTCTGTTGTAAGACAAGTGATTGAACAGATGCTTCAAGATCGTAGTTTCTCTTCTTCTCATGAGCACTAATATCCTCGTCACTCAGTTGATGGACCGTTCGTCTTTTTCGTGAAGAATGGTCAGATATTTTAACTGTTATACCGCTATATTCGCCTTGTTCTGCAGAGCTTGTTTGATCACTGATTGTTTCGCACCTGTTTGTCCGTTCGAGCTCTGATTTTTCCCGATCAGTGTGCGTGTCAGTGCTCTCCTTCATTTATGAAACATCCAAATGCATTCACTTAGTCTAAGAGAGAATTTCAAACATGATCTCTTGCACTGCCCAACAAGTGCCATCATTCGCGCCTTGGGGGTATACATGCTAATTTTGTGGACGGCCAAAGTTTCCACTTGGTTCAAAAGACTCAAGTAGAGAAAAACAGAAATATACGAGTATATTTAGGACTTCAGGTAAATTGTACTTGTTAGAAAACGTACTCGTTCCTTTGACTAATGCAGTAATGGTGGTTAAATTAAAAATGCATAATAAATTTGCCAGTAATCAGTAATGCCACCGGCAATATCTGGTGATTGTGAGTTATCTAATACTACAATGACAATGTCGATGTAACTTTATATATTGATCTATTATTACAATATTTGCCAAAATATACTTCGACTTCATCGACCGATTCGATAATCCAAGCATTTGATAACAGTTATGAGACAAATAACTGATTTCAGCTTTCAATATACACTCGTCATCAGAAGGCTTTTCATTTAAGCGATTGCATGTGACGTATCTTCTCAATGTGACAATGACTCAATGCGTAGTTTGTCTGATACAGCTGTCTGTGACATACACACATTTCAGTCCTATTTACATACTATATTAGTATATAGCAAGCAAGAGCTTTATAGTTCTAAAGTCAGAATATTCTAGATTTTCCCTTCGTACTAATGAGTTTTTTCTCAAAATATTAATATTAATATGAACAGGTTGGGCTAACAATATCAGTATATTATTGTATAAGCTTGGATGAATACGTTTTTCTTGAAGAAACCAAGTCTGCTAAACAGACTATAATATTCCTTATACTCTTCACTTTCCATAAACGTTTGGGTATCGGTGTATAAAGTATTCAACGTCTTGCTTTCACCCGAATTTCGCATCAACGTATCATTGTTTACACCCAATATGTCTGAAACTGCATTAGCGGTGGCATCATTTATATACCTACCTGAGATTCTGTGGCCATGTCTTCGGTGTTAGATGATGACTTGTTTCATCTTTAACATTCCTAGAATATTGCCATTGCTAGCTAGCAAAAGAAAAATGTTCTAAACAGCAACAGTTTTAAAAACGCAGAATATCAAAATATAACTTGACTTAGGGAATTCCCCAGTTTTCAAATCTGTATTAGCATAATGGTTAGCACTATTTTCCATCCAGCAATCCGCCCTATCGATTTTATAAAGTTCTTTCTTTTTTAAGTTTTTTATTAGTTTGGTTAAGGTTAGGGTTAGGGTTAGAGTAGGGGTATGGTTTGGGACTTTGGGTTAGTTACATAGCCATATAACATCTTTTCTATCTTCCGAAAATGACGTCAGGTCAGTTTGCTGGATGGAAAATAGTGCTAACGTAGCATATTCTCAGGATGTGCTTTTCACACAATTTGATTGGTTCGTTGATTTCCTCCGTATATACTTGCATATTCTGATATGATGATTGTTAGATAGTATACTTCAAACTAAGGTTTCCGTTTTTATAACGTAAAAAAAAACTATCCTAACGTGCAAAACTAAAGTCTAAACCCTAACCCTAATACTAACCCTAACCCTAACTTATTTTAAAAATTGATATAAAAACGGCTATCTAGCAATTGCCATTCTGATATTCACCTCCTAACAAATGAAACAAAATGGCGTGCAACGAAGCCCCGGGTTTCGCAAACTGACACGAAGAAAGCTGAATAAAGTTTACTGGTAGTTTTTTAAAGCTATTTGTAATCAATAAAATTACTAAAAGCTTGTAAATACTGTTTTGTTTACAACTACAGTGTTACGGGAGCTGAACTACAAACTGTTTCAAAAAATAATGTTTTCGTTGTATTTTGGTCATTTTTGTTCTATTGTGAACTTGTGGTATATGCTAAAACAACTATTCGCCTCAGTGTTGGTGAATAGTGTCAATAGTGCAAGGATATTCACCTCCACTTCGATGAGTAATTGTTAACTATCGTCTATCGGCTACTAATTACTAAATACTGATAACTGATCTCAAATAAAACTGGAAAACCTGGAGCCGCTACATGGCTTCACATAGTATGCATTAATTAAGAAATAGAAAACATTTTCCGTGTTTCTGTCCTATAGAGTTATAGAAACACGCGTGGAAGTTTGGGAGAAACGAGAAACGAGCACGAAGTGCGAGTGTTTCCACGCAATTTCGAGTTTCTCCAGAACTTCCACGAGTGTTTCTATAAACTCTATAGGAACGTAACACTGAAAAATGTTTTCTATTTCCTTTATTAAATGGCCTTTTAAAAGCCGTAAAAACAATAAAAAAGATAAATTTAATGATTTTAATTGCATTCATTCAAATATTAATTCTATCTTAATATACGTTCGTGTAAAGAATAATTAAATCATAGTCAAGTAAACAGGCTTAATACTTTACTAAAGTATAAAATTCACTCAACAACGTACATGCTTGCAAGAAAGCACTGTTTTAAATAGATAGTAAACGTTTAAACATGATTAAAAACGATAGTCCCATCCTAAAGAATATTGATAATCTGTCACACGCGTATTCTTTGAAACATCTTTAATTAACTATTAAAATAATTTATTATAATAAAGAGACCAATTGACTCATAAATAGTACATGCAGCATCATATACGTGGCATTGTAATGCTTAATTAAGATATGTTGCATATACAATATACTATGATGTGATTACCAACAAAGTGAAATACCAAAATATGGTTATTTCTATTTCTCTTTTATTTCGTATTCCGCACGTTTCTTTTTATTCCCGAGTTCCTCCATTCCACGTTCTCTGTTTTTCAATTTCTCAGATCCTCATTGCCTATAGTTTCCCCATCCCTCCCAGTTCACACTTTCTTGTTTCCCATTTTTCTTTCATTCCTTCATTAGCTTATTCCCTTATTTACCTTCCCCCGACCCCGCAATTCCCCATTCTATACTGTTTTGCAGTTCCCCCACTTCCCTAATGTGACAAGCCATTTCCCCACTCCCTGATTCTCCTACTTCTCGAACTCGCTGTTTTCCTCACGCCCCGTTTTCCCAATCCCAATTTCTCAAACTCCATGTCTGCTCCACTCCATTTTTGCTCCCTGTTCCCCCACTTCCCCCGATCCCTATTTTAAAGGTAGCCTTTCTGGATTATTGTGGAAGTTATTCTTTATGCCGGCGTCGCTCGTGTCGTTGGCTGTTAAGGCAGCACGTCGGCTTGCGGTTAGCAGGCCCGTAACTAGCTATGAGTCCGCTATGAGCCCGTAACTAGCAACTGAATCAGTTGAGATCGGTAAGAATTTTCAGGAAAAAATTAAAAAGATAGGAACACTTATTAAAATTGAATTTAAGAAAGAAAACAAATACGGGTATTTAATTCAGGACGTGACACTGTCGTTTCCTGCAAGAGAAGAAAGCAGTGTCGTAGAAGTGGGAGGCTGAAATGGATGCACAAATATTTCAATCACAGAAGTGCATGTGGATCAACGTCCCAAATATTACCACAAACACGTTTTATTATGTTTATGTGTACCTGATCATGTTGGACCAAGAATATTTGTAATTCGTTAGTCTTCCTCGTAGCCGCTCTTAGTGTGTCGAGGTTTCTCCCCACGAGCGGCTACTCACTCAAACACAACATTCCTTTCCTTAAAACAACAAATCACCGTAATGGAGTTCTAAATTTCGGAAACATGACCTTGGACTAATTATTAAGATATTTATGAATTTAGATACGTACTTATGGCTAAGGGGAAAATAAGGGGGGCATATGTATACATAAATGACTAGAAGGGGGCTATTACATTTTTTCGAGAAAATGGGGGTGGGGCAATTAAATTTGAAGGAAATTGCTTAATAGGCCTGGTATCCATTTGGTTGTAAATGTTGCAACTAAATCATGGTCATTGGTCACTGATGTGAAATAGTCTGGATTTATCGTGTCTTTTGTGTGCTGTATGCAAATCAGATTGCAGAGATATTAAAATTGACAATGTGTTATTACATCAGCTATCTTGACATGGTTACAATCGCCCAGACCAAATGGAAACCTGATTTTAGTGTTATGTATAAAAATACTCCTCTTTTAATTATAATATCACTTATTAATAAGAAACAATTTAAAGGTGGCTTTTCAATACGTTAAAATGTTATCAGTTCCATATTCTTGTTTAATAATTAACACTATAAAAATTACCCCCTTCCCCCCCCCCCCCT